TATATATATATATATATATATATATATATATATATATATTTGACCATAAAATAGATATTATAATCTAAATAAATAATTTGCTATAGATTTGATATTGATAATAAAGTGGAACTTTTTGAATCTGAGTTATCGATCTTTCGAAAAATGTTTACTTTAGAATACATAACTCTAAATAACTTAATTTTAACAATAAAAATAAACACACAATAGAAATTAGAATTTGGAATATTAGAAAAAAATTCTTCAAAATTAAGAAAATATAAAATTCATGGGAATTCAAAGGAAAAACATGATTGGAATCCATGGTTTTGTTAAAACGTTGCCTAATTCACTATTGTAATAGCCAATTAATAAATTACTTATTTGCGATGTTAGACTCAATCTTCCAATTTTAGTAAATTACATATCTCGAGCGAAATTAACCCTAATTGATTGGTTTAACCTACTAAATCTTATGTCAATTAAAACCAAAAAATCGCATTAATTTTTTGAGAAAATAGCTCACTAGGTCACCTAAAGTTAGGGATATATCTCTTTCCCTTATACAAATCTATAATTTCTACTATTCGATCTAAAATGCATAATTTTCTCTCGAACAATGTACAAATCACTAAACATAATTTTCTACTATTATGTACAATGTACAAAGTTAGTAGAGTTTCTACTATTTGATCTAAAATGCATAATTTTCTCTAGAACAATGTACAATTCACTAAACATAATAATTTATTGGACATATATGATTGGTTTAACATATTATATCGTATGTCGATTAAAACCAAACAATTGCATTAATTTTTTGTGAAAATAGCTCATCATGTTACCTAAGATTAGGGGTATATTTCTATCTCCTATACAAATTTAGGGTTTCTACTATTTGATCTAAAATGCACAATTTTTTCTTGAATAATGTACAAGTCGCTAAACACAATAATTCATTGGACACATAAATGAAAGTGCAAGAAATATAATAGTAAAAGCATATGGAAATAATTAACTTAACATAAAAGAGCAAATGTTAAAATTAATTATAGTGAGGCTAAATTACTATTATAAATCCCAACAAAGACACTTAGTCCATGTTATATAAATGATAAATAGGAAAATATTTATAACAATGTATTACAAATATGGCAAAATAATTGAGAGAATGCAAGATTAAATATATAACCCTTTTTGTTTGGATTCTCGAAGATGATAATGGCTTGAATCTTGTATTCCCCAAATATTTCTCCACCTTCCTTGATGTATTTTCCCTTTGTTACTCTAGATTCACTCTCAAAATACCAAGAAAAAGAAAATAAAATAAAAGGAAAAACACAAAAAGAAAAGGAAAAAGAAAGATAAAAGAAAAATGAAGATGTAAGAATATTTGGACATATACATGGGCGGAAGTAGAAGGGGCAGTACTAGGCTACAGCTCAGCATTGTCCTCAGCCCATATAAAAACCTAAGAATAAATTGTAGAGTTTTTGTCCAAGAATTGACATTAGCCCAACTTTAGTTTGAATCTCAACCCAAATCCAATGTTCAATTATTCAAATTATATTAAAGACACTATAATTACTAATTACACTTTTTATGACATTTATGAAATGTGAATATTTTATTGTCAAATTAAATATTCTATTTGACACTAAATATTTTTCTAAATTTAAAAGTAATAATTTTATTAATTTTTAGGTATGCTTTCATTTATTACTTATATATATATATATATTACCTATTTTGACCATAAAATAGATATTATAATCTAAATAAATAATTTGCTATAGATTTGATATTGATAATAAAGTGGAACTTTTTGAATATGAGTTATCGATCTTTCGAAAAATGTTTACTTTAGAATACATAACTCTAAATAACTTAATTTTAACAATAAAAATAAACACACAATAGAAATTAGAATTTGGAATATTAGAAAAAATTCTTCAAAATTAAGAAAATATAAAATTCATGGGAATTCAAAGGAAAAACATGATTGGAATCCATGGTTTTGTTAAAACGTTGCCTAATTCACTATTGTAAGAGCCAATTAATAAATTACTTATTTGCGATGTTAGACTCAATCTTCCAATTTTACTAAATTACATATCTCGAGCGAAATTAACCCTAATTGATTGGTTTAACCTACTAAATCTTATGTCAATTAAAACCAAAAAATCGCATTAATTTTTTGAGAAAATAGCTCACTAGGTCACCTAAAGTTATGGATATATCTCTTTCCCTTATACAAATCTATAATTTCTACTATTCGATCTAAAATGCATAATTTTCTCTCGACCAATGTACAAATCACTAAACATAATTTTCTACTATTATGTACAATGTACAAAGTTAGTAGAGTTTCTACTATTTGATCTAAAATGCATAATTTTCTCTAGAACAATGTACAATTCACTAAACATAATAATTTATTGGACACATATGATTGGTTTAACATATTATATCGTATGTCGATTAAAACCAAACAATTGCATTAATTTTTTGTGAAAATAGCTCATCATGTCACCTAAGATTAGGGGTATATTTCTATCTCCTATACAAATTTAGGGTTTCTACTATTTGATCTAAAATGCACAATTTTTTCTTGAATAATGTACAAGTCGCTAAACACAATAATTCATTGGACACATAAATGAAAGTGCAAGAAATATAATAGTAAAAGCATATGGAAATAATTAACTTAACATAAAAGAGCAAATGTTAAAATTAATTATAGTGAGGCTAAATTACTATTATAAATCCCAACAAAGACACTTAGTCCATGTTATATAAATGATAAATAGGAAAATATTTATAACAATGTATTACAAATATGGCAAAATAATTGAGAGAATGCAAGATTAAATATATAACCCTTTTTGTTTGGATTCTCGAAGATGATAATGGCTTGAATCTTGTATTCCCCAAATATTTCTCCACCTTCCTTGATGTATTTTCCCTTTGTTACTCTAGATTCACTCTCAAAATACCAAGAAAAAGAAAATAAAATAAAAGGAAAAACACAAAAAGAAAAGGAAAAAGAAAGATAAAAGAAAAATGAAGAAGAAGCCGCCCCAGCCCCGCAAGAAAACCGTCCCAGCTGCCCCATTTTTTAATTAGCATTAAACCCTAGGAAAATTGTAGCCTTGGTCCCTAGAATTTCGGACAGAAGCAAGCCGGTCCCCATTCCTTTTAAAATGGCGCCTAGGCGCCAACTCTGAGGTTCCTGTTTTCAAGTTTTTTCTTTTTTTTGGTCGTTTTCTTTTCCTTCATACATACAAGTTCTTTAACAATTTGCATTTAAGGTCCCTAAACTTTGATCTCATACAATTTAGTCTTCAAATTTACATATTGAAATGTGATTTACCTTTTTTTAAGAGAAAAAAAAAGGTTGAACCCATGAGTTTTGTGAGGGATGTAAATTGCGGGATGTGCCTTAACATACCAGGGAACAAGAGTTGTCTGTACATTCCACCTACAAGAAGTTCAATTCCATTTTTCAGGAATCGAACCCCCACACAGTCGACTGTCAACAAGACGTGAGATAACCTCATTCCTGTCATTTGCACCACTAGATTATGCTCCGGGGGCTGATTTACCTTTTTTTTTTCAATGAATGCATGAATGTAAATATTTTCTGTATTTATAACATGATTTTTTTTTTTTTTAATAACATGATTGTTACTAGAATTCTAGGATAAGGAAGAAGAAGAATTAATAAATGGAATAATGTTATTTAGATTTAGTTGGACTACGTCCACTGGCTGAATTGGTAAGGGGCGGCCAATTAGGCTCCCTGTTTGAACATCTTTACCCATATTATTTATAGGGAGGATTATTTAAAATCATGTATACACTGATTATTTATTATTTGATGCAATATGATAAAATACTTCCATTGGTCAAATGCGATGTTGGACGACAGATAATCTTTGGTGAATGGCATTATTCTTGATAAATTACGACCGAATTCCGATCGCCAAACCAAATTGGAAAATCAATTTAGGTCAATAACCCAGGCTCAATCCTCGTTGGCCGTGGTATTCGAAGCAAAGGAAAGGCATTAGGGCTGAAACGGACTCATCGATTGGTGAGTTTTCTAAACCCTTCCCCTTTTTTCTTAAAAAATAATCCTTTTTTATTGTATGATTTATTTTTCCGCTTGCTGGAGTCCGATCTACTTTATTACCATGGATGCTAGTTTTTGATGTTCTTGATTTACTGATTTTTCTTGTTTATTGGTATAATGATCAAGTTTGATACAATTGAATTTGGATGAACGTGATGTTGCTATGAACTCGATGGCTAAAGGATAGGAATTAATTGCCTGTGGAATTTTTTTTTTTAGGGATTTAAATGGTAGATATAATCCAACCTATAAGGGCTGTTTATCGTCCCAAAACTTTAAGGAAAGAAGAACATTAACACCAAGCAAGATAGATGGATAGGGCGAAAGAAAATGTATTTACTGTCAAGCCAAATCTGATCAGATTAGCACCAGGAAATTTCAATTAAAGGGGTTGGATTCAATGAATCCATTTCACTGTACACAATTAAACAAGCTATAAAAGGAAAACAAAGAAAGTCGTGTTTACAACTTAAAGAAACATATGCATTTTTTTTTTTAAAACAAGTGTGTTCCCTCCAGCGAAGATTTGAGAATAGTTAACTGTTGGGTTAGACTGTTCCTGTGCCTTCTTCAAATCTACAGCAGTCAAGGTTCCCTTCTCTACACCACTTGTTCACAAGATAATTTAAGAGCTGCTCGGGCTTTTTCAAATTTATCGCAGAATGTATACCGCTATTCTCTGACAGTCCATTTTTCGCAAGTCCAAGGGACCGAGATCATCATTTTTTCGAAGTATTGGTTTTCATCTCTGTTGTGATCATTGTTTCTTTTGTGGGTTTTATGATCAGGTTTACTTTCTTTAGCGGACTTATCTTTTGTATTTAGGTAGTTTCAATTTTATGCAGCATACATTTTGTTTTCCACGGCATACATCATAGTATTGTTATCAGCTGATTATGAGTTAAAATACTCACTGCCTTCATGCCAACGTTGTCATCCCAAATTTATTTTTGGTATTAACTATTAAATTACCTGAAATTATAATGCCTGTATTTTTTCAGTTTATTGTTCTTGAATAAAAAAATGACCTTGCCATGAGCAATTTTACCGCCACGATATGGCTTGAGAGTTGAGATGATGTTAAGCTCCCGTTTGGCCCCCATTATTTGCCATTTTAATTTTTGGAATAGCCTTTTTTTAAAGAATGAGTGGTTAAAAAAGAAGAAAATTTTTTGGGTTTACGTATAATATTATTTTATTGAAGAATATATAGTTGATAAGAAGGGAGAGAAAAGTGAATTATAATTTTAATGGGGGCCAAACGGGGGCAAAAATTAGATTGAGGCTGATGCAGAAAAAAAAAATAAAAAAATAAAAAAATTGAACACAACAATCTTCAAACTATTGATTCCAAATTGAACGCCGATTTGGATTGAAAGAGAAGTGGAAACCTCTGCACTTCACGATATTATTCATGAAAAACTACCACCTTATCCCTAATGAAGTTTATTTATAACCCCATAAAGATTAAAGCTGTAAATGGAAAGTTGTAATGAAAATAAACAAAGTGCAATTAAATAAAATAAGTTCCCATCAATTAAGTTCCAGCAGAGTACATCTATTTCAATCTTCTCTTGATCTGCCGTTATTATGCATGAATTTGGTCATGCCATAAAATAAGCTGTCATTTAACTCATTTCTATCCTCCTGTGATCTGTTCTCATTATGAATGAGCTGGGTCATGATATAAAATATGGTATCATCTGGTAAGCTCCATCCGAGACCATTGTTTCAATCCTCCCTTGGTTTGTTCTTCTTTGGACGTGTAAATTGGGCCTTGGATTTGTTGACAAAGCTCTCGTGTCGTACAGAAACAATAGTCACTAAGATGATATTGAATATACTAACTCAACGTTAGTTATTTTTATATGAAGGATGAAATAGCAGCACTGCTGCATCTGTCAATTCACTTCCTTTTTATATTTATATCTTGTACTAAACAGATACATAAAAAACATGCAAATTTGAGACCTTACCTTGGGACTTGTTTATGAGACTAGTTTCTTAATTCTGTGTCAGTCTTTTTGGTTTCTGAAATCGAATATGATATGTTTTTGTCAAACTTCCTGAGGTTAAATAGCTTCTTAATTTGCTTCGTCAGAGTCCCTATGGTTTCTGAAATAGAATACGGTATTTTTTTGTCAGGCTTCCTAAGGCTGCATGGCTGCGTTGGCTATTTTTGCATAGATGGCAGATGCTATTTGCTTACAGATCTTGCATGTACGTCAAATATTTGCTGGAGATTGACACTGCATTTATCAATGGTAAACCTTAAAGCCCCTCACCATCCAGTTATATCTTATAGGCCTATTCAACCTTCAGATTTAGAGGTTCTTGAGAATATTCATGGTGAACTATTTCCTATCAGGTCAGATGATCTTGTCAAAGTCATTCCTGCTTTAATGCAATTGGAGCTTTGAGATGGCTTGATAGTTTACTGAGAATAAGTTTGAATTCTTTTTAGGTATGAGTCTGAATTCTTCCGCAATGCTGTCAATGGTCGTGATATCGTGTGCTGGGGAGCTGTTGATCGCAGTTGGCCCCATGCTCAGAGCAATGAGCTTATTGGATTTGTAACCGCCAGGGTTGTTCTGGCAAAAGAAAGTGAGGTGAGCATTGATCTACCTAGTAATTAATTAAATTAGGCCTTACACATAAAAATATCGATTTTGAACCAGATAAAGGCCTAAATATTTCTCACTGCCTATGGAAACTGATTTCCTGTTCAAGATTTTACTTCCATTAGATGTAGCACATCTACCATTGATTATAGTTTTAATGATTTTCTGCTATTGATGCTATCAAATTTACATTTGTACTGCAGGTAGAAGATTTTATCAGTTTTGACTCGTCAAAACCTGACCAAACACTAGTATACATTCTGACTCTTGGAGTTGTAGAATCTCATAGGAATCTTGGAATAGGTAACTCTTCCACACACACACACACACAAACGTACACTCTATCACGGTCTCTCTTTAGAATAATTTTCCTTTTCCATTTTGAAAATTGTTTCTTCTGAATTTTCTCTGGTTTTTAATTTTCAGCTAGTGCACTTATCCACAAGGTCATAAAATATGCCTCAAGTATCCCAACTTGCAGTGCTGTTTATCTACATGTGATTTCATATAATAATGCTGCCGTCCATTTGTACCAGAAAATGTCCTTCCAGTGTGTACGACGGTTGCACAATTTTTACCTTATCAATGAGCAGCATTATGATTCATATCTGTTCATCTACGACGTAAATGGTGGTCGATCTCCTTGCACGGCCTTGTGAGTAAAAGCTACCCCACATGATCTTCTAAGGATAACTTAAAATTTCTTAGTGTATGTTTGTTATAGGATTTTGTATATTAAAAGTTGTGTTTCTTATGGAATCTCTGGATAAAAATGATGTTTGACCAGCTTATCATCTTAATGAGGTAATATACCACACCCCTAGGGCTGGACGGACCCGAACCAATCATCAATAGGATTTTTGAAATAAAATAAAATAAGAAAGAGACAATTAGAGATTTTGTATGTCCCCAATGTTGCTTTATTTGAAGATTTGGAAAAAAATTGCAATCTCGAAGTTATTGGGGGTAATCTACGCCCAGCATAAACTTCGCAGGATATGAGACTCTGCTCACTGGATCCCTTTACTGATGAAACACTCGATTTGATTTTGTTTTCGTACTTATTTTGGTACATTGAAGACATGCATTTGTCTTATGTCAAGCTTTATATTCTGGCATTTCTTTTCATTGAGGAATGTTTTTTTGGACAAGTATTTTTACGGCCTAAAGGTCCTTATTTTGTAAAAAAGATGAATGCTTGATAATCCTGAGGGGTAAAATGATGAAAACCTGCTAAAAGGAAATAATTACATGAAGAAACACGGTGAAGTTTCGATTGATTGCACTTCCTAATTGAATTCTGAATTTAATTACTCAAAGTGGAAGCTCGTAAACTATGGTGCTTTAATAATCCATCTCCGTTTTATCTGTTCACTGTCATTGCTTCTCCCAAGTTTTGTCATTTTTATACTTTGCTTGGTAAGAGGAGCCATTCTTCTTCTTCCACAAAGTGCTATCATCTGAATATTCACATTATGCATTGTTGAATCAATATATATGCTTTACTAACAAGTATGCTTTGAATTTGCAGAGAGCTTGTCACGCTTTTGGTAACTTATGTGAAGAGCTTAATCAACTTGATGGTTGCGAAGCTGTGGAAAAATGAAGACAAGAAGATTTCTAAATGGCCCGCGAGCAAAGAATCTAGCTACCTTCTCCCAGTGGTTCAAAATAAGAGAAGTATCACAGCTGAGGTTGCTCGGTGTCAATATCTCTAGTCTTTTAATGCATCTTCATGGCTTCAAACAGGGAATAAGGTCATAACTTAAAATGAGTTATCTGTGTAACTTAAAATGAGTTATCTGTGTATTAAAGTACCCTGGCATGGAGACGCGGCTGCTGGATAAGTTAGCAGATACGTTGTATATTGGAAGTTTGTGAAGGGTTATATCTTATTCCTATAATCTTATGTTTGTTTGAAACTGGAAGGGTACAAGAATGCATATATTAAAATCCAAAACTTGATGTAGTCGGTCTTTATTTATATTTGGTAATATTAAATGGTAAATTCATCCTAAAAATAAATATACGGCATATAAAGCTTTGTGTTGCTTCTTTTAATAAAGTTGATATTTTAAGATGGAATTATATTTTTTGGAGGTGTTTGATAGACATTTTTATGTAAAAATGTATTTTAGAATAGTAAATTGATGTGAAATATGTGGTTAAAAAATAAAAAAAAGTTTTTGATTTATGTATAATATTATTTTAATAAAGAATGTGTGGTTAACAAGAAGATAGAGAAAAATACATTTTGAAAAAATGACTACTAAATGGGACCTTAATATGATATCATACTAGCAAATTGATGTGTATAAAGTTCAAATTCAAGCTGTTGAATTTTAGGGTTGGTGTTATTAAATGTGTCCTGGCATAAAGCAATTGAAATTTTATTTTGTTTTGAGATTTGAGTGAGTGATGTATGAAGTGTCTATTTGGTTATGATAAAAATCAGATTTTTTAAAATTGATGAAATTTTTAGCTGAGAAATAGATAAAAGTTGTGGGTCATATGAAATGTGTGGTTAAAAATGATTTTGTGAAAAAAAAAAAAAAAAAAAAGAGTTCTGAAAAATTGAGGCGAAATAGGACAAAATAAACCGAATTGGATCAGTTTTAAGTCTGGCAGGTGACAAGAAAATTTTCCAATCAAAGATTAAAGAGAAAAATTGTCGGCAAAAATAAATAAGGGAAAAAATCGTAGCTATATACTTTCAGGCTACATTTTCATAAATATAGTTTAAGAAAATTTCATAATTCAGGTCATAATTAATTTTTTTTAATGAAAATAAATAATAACTAATTTAAGATAAGAATGTGAAATTAATTAGTATTTATTAAATGATAATTAATATTTCCTCTCTCGTCACATGCCATCCCTTAAAAAAAAAAAAAAAAAGGTCGGTTATGTGTAGGGCTGGATATGGTCCGATTTGGTTCGATTCTAACGAGAACCGAACCGACCCGAAATTTTTGGGTATTAAGTAAGTGGAACCGTCGGATCCAAATTTAATTACGGAATCGTTCGAGTTCTGTTCTATTCGGTTCGGTTCGGTTCGGTCCGATTCGGTTCCGTATTATAATTAAATTTTTTAATATATACAAAGTTACGTTAATTTAATAAATGATATGTTCAATATTAGCTTTTACAAAATAATGTAGTTCAATCTTATGTGTTTCATATATCTCTTTGCTGAATTCTTCATAAATTTGATTATTAAAATCACAGAAAGAGAGAGATAGCGAGCTCAAAATAATTAAGAGAAATGTTGTAGAGTTTTAATTCGATTTTCTCCTGTAAAAATGACACTACAGTAGAATAATAGATTTGGATAAAATTGATGTCAATTTGATTAAGTTGATTTTGAACTGAAAATTAGAAATAGGAAAATCATATTTTGTGGTTTGAACTAAATTAACTAGTTAACAAATTTATTTAGAAAAAATAAAATAATTTTACTTATTTAAAATAAATTAATTAAAAAAATTAGGGAGATTCGGTTCTTATTCGATTTTTCTGGTCTTGGCCTAGAATCGAGAACCGAACCACACCCGTTGATTTTTGATTCAAATACCCGTTCGAGTATTTAACTTGAGAAGAACCGTCGGGTTCGGTTCGGGAGTTTTGTCCAACCCTAGTTATGTGTCCATCATTTTAGAGCCCGTTTGGCCCCCATTATTTGAATTTATAATAGGGGGAATAATATTTTTTTGAAAATTGTGTGGTTGAAAAGTTTCTATTTGAGTATAATATTATTTTATTAAAAATTGTGTGGTTGAAAGTAGGAAAGAAAAAAAATTAAATTAAATTGAAGAGTTTTGAAAGGGGCCAGATGAGGGCTTAATAATAGATTAATAAACTCCTAAACATTTGCATGCCATTGATAATTAGAAATATGCGTGTTTTTGATAGAAGGGAAGCATTTGGAATTCTACTTCGAAATGCAAAACTTCGGGGTTATTTTTTACTATATTAATGTGAAATGCGATATTGTGGCCTAAATTATGAAATACAATAATTTTAACATCTATAGTTCGCGCAAAAAACACGTGCGACGTAAAAATGAAATTCAACATTTTTGATCTTTGATGTGTGATACACGCGGGACTTTGTTTTCTACTGATAGTTGGGAATATGGTAATTGTTGTGTTCTTAGTCGTACACAATGAGGGAAAAGAAAGTAAGAAACATTTGTTTCTCTCTAGATTGGCAGATAATATTAAAAGGGTAGTTATCCAATTTTGTATAATTTGAATTCAAAAAATAATAATTAAATATACATTATCCTAATTAACGAAATTCAGGATAAAATAAAATAAATATAAAAAATTATTTATTCATATAAAAATACATAATTACAGAATAAAAAAAGTTATTATTTGGTTTTTATAATGAAAACTTAAAAGTATGGTATCTTCTAATTTTCTCATTAATTAATCCCCTTAAAAGTCAAGAGTCAAGTTGCGGTAGATCCATCCATCTAACGGTTTGAATAATGAAATATTTGGAGATTACAATCAATTTATTATGATCTAGACTTGTAAAGCATATAGTTCTCCTAATTAATTTTCATTTTAATCAATGTTGGGATAAAAATATTTAGTGCCTTCTATATCCAATCCGAACGACTCCAAATCTGCTCTCTCAACTTTTTATCTCTTTAAATTTTGTCAATACTTTTTCGACACATTGACACATCTATTCATAAATGTTAACATATTTTTTGACACATCGACAACACATTGAAAACCATTTTAAAAATCTTATGTAGTTCCTTGAAAAGTCCTTTATCGAATTCGGATGCTGGGCAGAAACTGAAATCAAAGAACGTTTGGCAATGATAATGGATCAATTATTCATTTTATGAACACTTCAGTTTAGTGTCACCATAATCTGCCACCGCAAAGTTGATTTTTCAGCATTCATATAAGCACATTATAATTTAAATGACAACAAAATTTGAAATGCGCTATATGTACATAATGATTTACATAAACATGATGTGGTGAAATGCGACTAGGTTAGAATCTCTTCAATCAAAAAGAAAGAGACAAAGAGACTGCCACTTTCTTTTTGATACCTTATATGTATATAAATTATTATTTAGCTCCATTATGTAACTCCTGCGAATCTCAACACAACAAAATCCAAACCATCCAAGTTGGGTGAGGAGTTGCATCTTTTGCACGTGTGACCATTGATTGTCAAATGCCATGCAAACTGCGGTCTGAGTTGGGAAACTATATACAACTTTTTCTTCATAACCACAATAAGACAGAGGCATTTGACGGCCGGAATGGGGGTTGGGGTGGGCGTTGGGGGTGGGGTGTAAATTATTTAAAAAAATTAAAAAGGTCAGTAAAACTCTGTTTAATTACTTTTGATTGACCATCACTCTCATCTCAGTAAAACACTAATTGCCTTGTTCAAAGTCAGATCATAATTTTTCTTAAAACTAATTATATTAAATTACTTAATCAATGCTAACCTCTTGGAAAACAAGCTGTTTTCTTTAGATTAATTAAGTAATGCTGTATTAAATTAATGAGTTGTGCATGATGGAAAATATTCGTGTTTTGAAATTTCCAACCAGAATCATAACCAGATCAAGAATGCTTTTGAATTAATAAAGAAAGCCATGCTTATACATTTTTCATGCACGGTGATGGAGACGGCTGGGCTCCAAAACTCTTGTTTTTGCAGGTCATGAATGATGAGCCTTCGGAAAAGGGGCACTAAAACTTTAAATTTTTTTTTATTTTTTTCAACTGACTTATAGAACTTCAGTTGGATCATTGAATTTTAATTTTATTTCAAATTTCGTTACCATGTCACCTGACATATCCAAAATTAATAAAATTTATTTAATTGACAGTAAAAGTAATATATCTTCCATGTAATCGTTGCGCGACACGATAATATGTTAAAATAAACGCCTTTTTAACCTTTTAATCTTAAGACATTATCATAACTCTCAATTTATAATTTTCATTTCTAACGTGTTTACGTAATGATAACATCGTAGATTAATTATGGTATAACGGTCAGATTTAACCAAGTTGAAATTTACACAGAATACTTGGGTTTGTTAAAAAAAAAGAAAAAGAAAAAAGAATTAAGTTGCTTTTACCTTATTTTTGTACACCATGAATGACATTCTATGATATGTAAAAATTGAGGTCATTGATTGTTTTATATATTATTAAAATCAATGGTCAAATTGTGTGCCACATCATGATGAGTGTAAACAAAGCTATCAATCATGATATGAGTGTAGCAAAATTGTTAAAAAGAAGAATTAATCTATGTGTACTTTGAATTTGTATAATGAGCTTGACAGTGTGTAAAGTGTAAAGATCCTAGTCATTAATTCAAAAACAATTTTCCAAATCAATGGACATGAAGTCTACCAACTCATACGTTGTCGTATTTGTTGTCAAATTCATTGTACAAATAGCATGATTGTAAAAAAAAAATATAGTACACTATTAATTATTTAATTAATATATATGAAAAGACGACAACGTAATATCATGTTTGGTAGGATGGAAATAAGATTTTTACAAGATTTTGATGGAAGTTGATGAAATGTTTGATTGAAAATTTGTAAAACCCATAAATATCTGGTTAAAATCAATTATTGACTTCGATTTAAATTTAAATTTAGATTTTAAATTTTACCGAACAAGGGCATATGTTGCATTGCATGCATGGCTCTGGCTCCAGGGATTTCATTTTCAAGATTTTTTTTTGGTCCAAACTTATTCTACGAGGTTGGATGGGATTTCGAAATTCTAAAGGATACTTCAAATGCTCAATCTTAGGCCTATGAAATTCCTTAGGTTGGTTGGTAATTCAGACATATTTATGAAATACTGAAAATAACATTCATCTAATCTTAATTTTAAATTCATACGGATCGAAAGCTTTCCATTTATTTAAAATAGGTATTCTATTTGTAAGAACAATATTAAGAAGGAATTTGTTTTTCACCTAATCACATCCATATTTGGTTCATAATCTTCAAAATTTCTAGAGAGGATCAATGTTCATATTTGAAACGTATGTAACTTAATTACTCCTGCACTCATCATGATATCAATGGTAAATTGGCAATAAATCGATACAATCACTAAACTTTGACAGACAAAAAGACTTAAACTAATAGGTAGTTCAACAAATCAATTCTAAAAACCAACAAGCTCTACTATGTTAGTTGAGACGTTTCCTTTAAATTTTCAAGCACTGTTATGCATCAATTTCCTAGAAACGAGGATTTGAGCTCTTCCTAAACATGAAGATTCTATTTTTTTTCAGTAATCACAAATGAAGCACGTATCATAATTGTGTTACAGACCTTTCAATGATAGTGATTTTATTATATATGGGGAGAGATAAGCTTCTTGTATCTTTTTTCCTTTACATAAACCTTTTCTCAAAGCGAGACAATTAGGGTGCGGTTGGTTTGCCATTTTCGGACCATTTTTGTTTTTCGTTTTCGAAAACGCAGAAAATGTGTTTGGTCTGTCGTTTTCGAAAACGAGTTAAAATTTATAACTGAAAACGTAAAACGACTTTTTATCATTTTGAGCGTTTTCAGTTATAAATTGCCAAAACGCACAAAACGCAGAAAACGGGCAATTTTCGAGGAAAACTAAAAGTTGTTTTGAAAATGAAAATGGAAACCAACCGCCACCTTAACTTTTCCTTTTTGACAAGTACTTTAAAATGGAGATGAACTATGGTCAACTATTCTATTTATCTTACTAATTTTTTTTAAATATTATTTGCAAAGGAAAGTTAAATATACAAATTAATGGGATCTGATTTTACAATGCTCATTGAACAAAAAGTATTTTCATGAGTTGCTTAAACTCCATTAATGGTTAAAAAATTGGTTAAACGACACCAAAGTTAGAGGTCCTAGAATAGAAGATCGAGCAAGGTTCAATTCTATTCTTGAATAATTTTTGCAAAGAACAATTAAACATATTAACAAATTTACTTAAGTATAACGTACTTATAAGTAATTTTTTTAATTATAACATACTTATAAGTATATTTCTTAAAATCAAAATATCAACTGTCTCAAAAATAGTTAGATATATATTGCATATCATCATTCATCGTTGACTGAACTTTAGACGCACGCAAAAATTTAATTTGTTTAATGTGTAATATGTTGCAACTCAAGATTAATTAATTGTTCATACTTTAGGGTTTTTTTAAATCATTTTTAAGACCGATAAATTAATTAATTCTATTCGTTGAGAAAAATCCAAGGTGACAACCTAAGTACGTACATAATTTAATTTGCCTCGTCGAATAAGGTAGTAACGACCGTACTGGAAATATAAGTATATTAATATTCAAAGATAATTCATTGATTTGATATTTTATTTCAATTTATTCAAACAGAGGCTTCTGATTATGTGAATATACGTACTATAAAAACCTCACCTCATTCTCACAAAAAGCGAAATCTTACCTTTTCTTCATACAGCCCTATCCAGGTTTGTAAATTAACTTCCACCTTCTTTTTGGTTCTACTAATTACCACTCTCACATATCAAGTCATCAAATTTCTGCAGGTAAGTAGTATATTTGATGGAAAGATCATCAACAAGCGGCTGCGACGAGTGGAGCGGGCTAAAGAAGGGGCCATGGACACCGGAAGAAGATCAAAAGCTCGTTGATTGCATCCAAAAGTATGGACATGGAAATTGGAAAGAGGTATCGAAGCTCGCCGGACTCAATCGGTGTGGAAAGAGTTGCCGGTTAAGGTGGACTAATTATCTACGACCCGATATCAAACGAGGAACCTTCTCCGAGGAAGAAGAACAAACAATCCTCGAACTTCACGCACTTCTTGGAAACAAGTACGTATATATTTCCTTCTTGTATAATCAATTCTGTTTAGATCAATTAGTTCAACATCATCGCTTCAAGTCTGATCATCAACCCGTCTACCCATGAGGGAAGTGTTGAAGATAAGATTTAAATGATATAATCAAAATGACCAAGAGGTTGTAATATGATCTTGGTGAATGTGTATAGGTGGTCAGCCATAGCAAGTCGTCTACCGGGACGAACCGATAACGAAATCAAGAATTTCTGGAATACTCATATGAAGAAGAAACTACTTCAAAAAGGGATTGATCCAGCTACTCATATGCCTAGAACTGATAATCTCCTCATCAATTCACTTGCAAATATTCCACCTGATCAGCTTCTTGCAGCTGCAAACAGTATATGCATTAACAATGCTCTAGCATGCCAATATTCAACTACTGCTAGAGAATTTGCCAAAATATTGTACTTAGATAACATATTGCAATTCTTAAACGCTGATACTGGTACTGGTACTAGTACTAGTACTAGTATTGATCAACTACATCAACAATATCCTACTCCATTAATATTGGATCCACAGTTAGAAGCATTGCTACATAGTAACTCGACCCCGTACCCTCATGCTCCTGCATCAACTTTCCCAAACTTAAACGTTTCTCAAACTATCTTCAGGCCCGAAGTTGAAGAAACGTCGATAAAATCTACTCAAGTACACATTAATGGCACCAATCATGAATATGGGACATCGGCATCTTCCTTTCATACTAGAGATAATTATTCGATTCCAGAACCGATTCCGGCATCCTCCTTCGAGCAGCCTTTCATCGTGAATACGGATGATCAAACTAATAAAAGCAATATCATAAGCCCAAAAGATCAATTCTTAAACTCATCTACCTCAACCACTTTTGATGCTTTGGGAGATCTTATGGATGATGAAGCAAGCAAGTACTACTGGAAACAAATAATAGAGTAAGTAATTAATTATATGTTTTTTCCCCTTAGCTGCTTTACATTTTTAAATGTTTTAATTAATTAAATACTAATTAATGGTCTGTTCCATGTGTTTATCATTTCATTGCAGCCAAGACGCTTCCTCGTAGAAGCTGCAGCTATCAGATGATACAAAGAAATTCAGAAAGATTATAAAATTCGGTTTAGTCTTCAATATTTGATTGTTTTCTGTTAATGTATAATCTCCAACTAATATGTTGTATCTAGCCAAAGAGTTGGCATTAATTCCACTAATATTATTATTTCTTCCAAGGTGATTGATGAAGCGGAAAGCTTGGTCACGACTCAAACTATTGCAAAAAATGCTGCTTAGATCCATTAGTATTTGTCCATCGATATCGTACGATAAGAAAAAATTTCTCCGTTTCAGTTTTTTTTTGAAAAAATTCCTACATTTTAACCACACATTGTAAAATATGACTTATTTACAAAATCGATTCGAAAAAATGAACTAAAACAGGGGGCTTAATGAAACCCTAGCTACAACCCAATTTTAGTGGAATAGATACTTACGACGGAAATACTATACAATGTAGTTTAATGTGAACTAGTTTTACAATTTTATTTTTTTTATTAATTAAGTTATTTTCTGGTTTAGGAGTAGTCTCTAAAAAATATAAAAACAAAATATACTTATTTTTCAGGAACATTTATTTTACTACTAAATGTATGTTTCTTGTCTCTTTAGCATGTACTTAATCCTAAGGGCTTCAACCAAGAAGAACAAGTTTCCTTTTATTTTTTCCAGAATTATAAAATGAATATTTATTATTAAAAATAGAAGATGCTACATGTACATTAACTTGTATATAAGGGTGTCCATAATGGACACCCAGCACCTTGGCATTGGTCGAGGCGCCTGCCACACACAGGCCCACAAGCGCCTCGGCGTGTTCATAAGGACACCTTTATGTACAAGCTAATGTACAATAAGAATTATCCATTAAAAATATGTTTCGTTGAATATTTTCCTTCTTTTACTTAAAAAATAAATAAATAAAGGGTTACTTTTAAAATGAGCTACATATATTTATATATAAAATTAACATGCAAAATTTATATTCTAAACCTTTTTAACGCGGTAATGAGTCAATAAAAATTAAAGGTTATACCCCAATTTAATTAAAAAAATGAGTCTTGTCCGCAAAGCAAGCTAGAGACTCGATAATTAGTTTTAGTAGCTTGGCTAGGTGCACTATTTCTTGACTCTTAAAAACAACTAACTCACCTACCATATACATTCTCCAAATTATCGTTCATCTGTTTGAGAGTAATAACTAATTAATTAACTAATACAACATCTCATTAACTACTATTTAAACTACGGCGATCTTGTTAATTTGTACACGTGAAAATTGAGATTAATTATATTGAATTCAGACATTAATTAATACATGTGTAGAAAATTCTCAATTGTAATTAACTCACTGTTCGATTTTGCTAAAAATTATATTTTTAGTAGACTTTGATAAACGTGATGGTATATATGGTTGAAAAGTTTATAAAAATTGTGAGCCTCGTGAAACGTATGATTAAAATTAATTATTGACTTTAACTTGAATTTTTATCATTTTTTTTAGTTGAATCAAACAAGAGCTAAATTTATCCCTAAGAGAATCTAATTACTTAAATGTCAGAATTATAAGATGTGTTCTTTTATTAATTGATAAAGAAACGACTTAATTTCAACCAATGTAGGTATTAAAAAGCTAACTAATTTCACTGAATTTTGATGAATTTGAGCAACTACCCGCCTAAGTGACCCAATGATCCAAAATACATATATAACTCAGTTATTTAATTACGGTAAATTCCAACAGTTCATGTTTTTGGCCTTTAGACAATGACGGATCCAGGCTTTGAGATTTTTGAGGACTTACGCCAAAGTGAAAATTACACTAGAGCAAATATTTAAATATCACACTTCAAAAATTAAATATGAGATATATTTAATAAAAAATCATGTGACAATTTAATATTTTATTATTAATATGTAACCCAATTAAATTTTCAAACCTTAATTCATTTTCATATATACTATCTTTCTCCATTTTCTCTCACTCTTTCCCTCTCTCTACCATGATATGTGCACGTGATTTGCAGGGGTGCCATGGTGGTGGTTTTTCATGTTTTGGGGGTGGAGTGGTTTTTGTTGGCGGTGATGGTGGCAACGTTGTTGGTAGTGGTGATGTAATTGATGTTCATAATGGTTGTTGTGTTGGCGGCGACAACAATGACATGTGAAATGAAGAGTGTTTGTGATAAACTATTTAGTTGTAAACTAAAAATTCAATAATTTATGGTTGGAATATAATTTGTGACCAACTAATTTGAAAATTTGTGACCGATGAATATGTTATAACTTATAAAATTTAGATCATGAAATAATCTATGATCAATTAATTTAGTAATTATATCTAACCAATAAATAAATTGTGATATATAAGTATGACCTGCTATCATTAATTGCATAAATGTGGCTTTACTATATTTAATTAATAAAATATTTCTAATTATTTATCTATCCCCCAAGTTTTGAATTTTGAAACTTAAAATCTGAAAATTGAATTGGCCCATGGTTAATACCCGGGCTGTGAATTTTTCCATATGCCAAATTTTTTATGAGCCTTTTATTAAAAAAAGGAAAAAAAAATTATATGCAATGATTAAAAATATTTTTTTAATAAACAACAACGTTTAAAGTTACATTAAGGGAAAATTGCAGCAAAAACCCCAAACCTTTAAAACACTTGTAGAAATCTTCAAACCTTTGATTTGTCGCAACTGTCACCCCTAACCTTTACATACGTTGCAGTGAAGGCTCGTCAGTCGACTGCCCAAATAAAAAATTGACCACTTTTAACCAAAATAGAGGAAGGTAAAATCGTCCAAACACTTAAAAACACATTTTCATGCCATTTTTTTACTTGTTTGATTCTTTTCAAATGAAGAATACAAGTACAACCCTAATAAATTGTCTGTTAGTTGTCAGTTTCTCACTCTCTATCAACATCCTGAACCGAACGTAGAAGTAATGGAGATGCAAGTGTGCAATTGCGGAACTCGTGCCCAGATGAAGACATCGTGGACTAACTTGAATCCAGGTAGACGATTTCTTACCTGTCCACGAGGTATGGATCTGCAAGGCTGTACGTTCTTTTTTTGGTGGGATCTCCCAATGTGTCAGAGATCAAGGGAGCTGATACCTGGTCTTCTGAGGTCGAGACGAGAGATGGAAGCTGAAATTAGGCAACTCCGTTCGAATGGAGGTGGGGTATGGAAGATTTGGTTTTGTGGGTTTGTATGTGGAATGTTTGTGAAGTGGATCTGCAGTTAAATCTGCGTAGGGGTTTTTCGAGTTTTTTAGCTAGATCTGTAATCATCCTTTCTTCATGGTATAACCTACTTCCCCTACGTTAATGAAGGCTTAAATGCAATTGCAATTTTGTGGTGTTCTGTACATGTTCACTGTTAACATTGAGCAAATATTAACACCCAAACGTTTGGCAAATCTTGCAGTAAAAGCCCCAAATGTTAGGTATATAGTGCAGATAAAACCCCCAACATTTCACATGTTGTGGATTGTTGGTCCCATACCTTTGAAAAAATGGTGGAAAATGCCCCTTTTCTATTCAACTGCTTATAGTAAATACCCCATCCCTTTAACAACGATTTCCAATACAAAATTAACAACTTCTTCAAGTGTAGGTGCAACATAAAATTCCATAATTCATTCCAAAAAGTTCAATTACATTCCTACATCCAATGACATCTAGATTACACTGCTTTGGACTTCTTTCCTTTCCGCTTCTGTGACTGTGACAGTGGTGCATTTCCCTTTAAGGTAGCTGCAGCTCTCTCTCTCTTCCACTTCTGTGATTGTGGTGTGTCAGTAGGCTGCGTCTGTGCAGTGCATGTTCTCATATTGTGTCCAGCTTCTCCACACCTTTTACACGTAATTTGCATGCCTGTTCGGGTCATTTTAACTCCAGTGGGTGGTTCGGTCTGAGATCTTTTTCTGAGCTTTTTAGGCCTGTCTGCCTACTTCTTCTTCACTAGTGGCTTCAATGAGTGTTTCCCTAATTTAGACCAAAGTTTGGGCCCTAACATTGGCTGAATCACGGGGTTGTATGCCATCAGAAATCTCTCCTTCTTGTAATATTCATCTACAAATTCATCTATGTCTATTCTCCTTGACAGCATACCAGAAACGGCATGTGCACAGGAAATTCCACTCAGTTGCCATTTCCTACATACACATTCTTTCGTCACCAAATCCACACTCCACCTCAAACCAATTGTGTTGCGAACTTCAAATTTTTGATTACCTGCATAATCTGCCCTCATAAACCTCGCGTCTGATTTATCCTTCTCAATTATCCCTACAATTTTTGGACCATATGTATGATCCCACCTTTGAGCTGCCTCCCTCTTTGCAGCCATCCGTGTCATTTGTTGATGCCTTATCTTATCCAACATTGTGATTATAGGCTTCTCCCTAACTATAATAATGGAGGCATTGAAAGCTTCGCACAAGTTATTCAACAAGATATCGCACTTCGTATACTCCTGGAAATGGGATCTCGTCCATTGAGCTGCAGGCTTCTCCTTAAACCAACAGAAGGCTTCTTTATTCACCGTCTTCATCTCATTTATAACTGCATTCCACTCTGGTATAGTTGTAGACTTGGCTGTAGCCCAGAACAAATTTTTCAGAGTTAGCCCTTTATGTTTGAGAGTGAAATTGCTGTACAAATCTCTGGCGTAGCACCTATGTTTTGCACCTTCACAACACTGATTCAGGGCTTCAACCAATCCTTTTTGCTTATCAGATATGAAAGTCCAAGCCCTACTATTATACATTTCTATATCCACCACCAAAAGTTCTATAAACCAAGTCCAGTTAGCTTTATTCTCTGCATCCACGACTGCCCAAGCAATTGGGAACATACAACTCTCACCGTCAATCCCCACTGTTGTCAATAATTAACCCCCATGTGTAGTCTTCAGAAAACACCTCCTATTCTCTCAACCTGCACAGTACTTCCAGGGTTAGTTTTCTTCAACTCTTCCCTATAGTCCCAAAGAATCTTGTATTGTTTCTCAACAAGTCCAGTCACAACCACTGCACATTTTGCTCTTGTTCTATAAAATTGATATTTCGATATTTCATACATACAGTCCTCCTTCACCGTTTCCATGAAACTGTTCATGGATAACTTCGGTTCCAACCTGAACTTACGTAGGTATTTCTTGGCCAAAAA